CAATAGCACATAGCCCATCGATGAGAGAAACAGTCCCGAAAACTGCATTCGTTTGTGGCGGCAACATTAACGTGTCAGTACTCCCCGCCTTTGAGAGCAATAGCAAGTAACTTAGACAGTAACCGAAAACAGACGTCTGAAGGAGTTAGACGATAGGAGATGAGGTGTGAAACCTGAGATTAAGTTAAAAATAGCTAACAGTATCATGGCGATTTATGAATTTTCCTCGAAAGTCCGCTTATTTTTCTTTTTAGAACAAAAGCACTGAATGTGGTCGTTACATAGCAGACTATGGAAGACAATGTGTCAGAAGCCACCCTAACAGACTTGCTCGCATGCAGCCCTGGCGAGTCGCGAGCGCGGCCTCCAAGGAGTCGACACCATGCGAGTCTGCCGGATAGGGATCAACCAATCAGATTACCAATCGATTCGCTACTCGCTCGAGGGCACAATCCGATTAGTCCGACCTTATAATGCCTGCATGCTTGCTTAGATATCCGTACTAGGTGCGCAACAAAGACTTCCTTTTTTGTGCCCTTGTTCTCCTTGAGGCATTGAAACAAAGCGTCTGGGAGTGGCAGAATTCTTGGCTTTCGGCAACATTACAACACAGTGTACCATTCAACATCTAATACTAGAACAGAAAGGGCTGATTTAGACTCAAGCTTCGCTATTATAACTTCTGTCTTTGCACAAGATACCGAAAGATGTTTAAGGCACGGATTGCAAGCTTACATTTCTCAGCCTCGTTCAGTTCCTCTTCGACTTTGAGGATTTCTGTTCCAAGGGTTTCCAGTTCAGAAAGCTGTGACAGAAGATGAAAGAAAAAACGTATTTAAGACAACTGAATAAGTGATAATAGGCAGAAGGGCATTACCGAAAAAGATAGGAGACACTAAGATGGTCACTTCTGGCTTATTAGCCCACGTCAGCCAGTCATACCCAACCCAAATGGTGCCCCACCCGAGCTTCTAACCCGCAACCTTGTTAGTTAGAAGTCCAACGCTCAAACTACTGC